CTCCCATGTGTCGACTCGACACCGACCTTGTTGGATCTCCTCCCAACGAGTTCACCACCAAAGTTTCGCATCTCCATTCAGATACATTGTTGCTATAGAAACTTTGGTATCTTCATAATCGGGCCTCGTAGCTCGGAAGTATTGCTCCATGTCGAACAGAAAGTTCTCGAGTTCCTTGGCATCTCTGGCCCCTCCGTATCCATGGGGCTCAGGTGCCCTCAAGTTTTGTGGCGGTGCAACGCGGGTGTTGCCTCCTCCCGCATTTAGCGTTCTTGTGAGCATAGCCACATTTGCCGTGAGTTCCGCCACAACATCCTGTAGGTGCTGCACGAAGTCCTTGGTGTCATCGGACAGTCGGTCGACTAGGGCCTCGACCTTGTCGATCCTGGACTCCGCTTCCTCTTGCGAGCTCTCTACCCCAACAAGTCTTTGTTGGCCATGGTAGAGTTCCTCCATGCTCGCTTCCAGAACATCCAGGCGGGTTTCCACCGTCGTGAGTCTCTCCTTATGACTCTTTTTCCCAGTTAGCGCACCAGATTGCGCTTCCTCCGCTCGCGGAGAGTTGCCAACTTCTCGCTCATCCTGTTCGCTGCCGCGATCCTCAAGAGCGGCTCCAACAGCATGAGAGCGAGTGTGCACATGCAGCCCACCTGCGGCTGCTTGGGGCAAGGGTCCGGCTTGCCCCGTCTTGCTTGATTCGCCACGATGCTTTGCCATGGCGAAGTTGCGAAGTTCGTTCGCTGTTCGATCGAAGAGCTTGCCCGCTCTGATACCACAATGTCACGACCTTAGCTGGAATTGCCTAAGGCGTGCGGCACCCTTGTGGCCAAAGACGCGAACTTAGCTTGCATTGCCTAAGTCGCGAGTCACCCTTGTGGCAAGGACGCGAACTTAGCTTGCGTTGCCTAAGTCGCGCTTCGCCCTTGCGATCTTGCTCCGCAAGGATCAGCCCACTTTGTAACCTCTCGCAGGTCCCGAAGGACCTGTAAAAGAGAAAGAGAGTTAGATCGAAAGAACGAGCAACAGACAAGTCCCGAAGTCTCACGAAAAGGAAAGCTTTACAAGCAATTCGTCGAACACCTTGTGTGCACAAGAGAAAAGAGGGAGAGGGAGAAAAACAAGGCTTTCAAGGATGAACGAACAGCTGCAAGCCCACAAACAGCCGCTCACCTGGTCCCGGGCGCAAAACCAAGTTCCCGTAAAGGTCACGTGCGAACTTGCGAAAGAGTGTTCAACGCCCGATATATAACCGAAGCCCCATCCAGCCATGTGCCACCCGGGGGGTTCCTGGGGTCTGAGCTGGCTGACATTTTGGTGAGCGGAGGCAGCTCTCCGCTCACCTCCCGCGGCACGCGAAAACGAAGCTGTTTTGGGGCTGTTTTGCTCGGTTCGGTGAGCGATCGCTTTGCAACGCTGCAGCTTGTTCGAACTTACATATTTACAAGCAAAATGACCCAAAACCATAAGAAAACATGCTGCCAAGCAGCTGTACATGCAGGTGTGAGCGACGAACGGTTCGTTGAACGGAGTTGTTGCGGGTGCGCGACGACCGTTCGTGACAACACGTCAGTTGGAGTTGTGATTGAAGAGTAGGCAATGGGTTGGGTGATTTGTGGAACTGACGGCCACTCGTAAATGTTGTATTTACTCTGGCCTCGGACCAAGGATGCCCCCGTGCTTAAATCCTTGTCAAGAAAGGAATTAGGAAAGAATTCAATTGATGTATGATTCTGTTTGCAGAATTGAGAAACAGAAATAAGGTTTCGTTTGATTTGGGGTGCACACAAAACATCATCTAACATAAATGAAGTACTATGTGAATTAAGCATTGTGGAACCAGTATGAGTAATGGGGAGTCCGTTACCATCACCGATGATGATGTCTTTAGTTCCGCCATAGTCGTTGTAGATGGACAAGTTTTATAAATCAGAGGTGATGTGATGAGATGCGCCAGAGTCCACAATCCAATTTTGATCACCAGTAGTCGAAGTAGCTGTAAGATTTGCATGAGGCCAATGTGATGGAGGAGGAAATCTGGATCGAGTTCTACAGACTTTTGTAGCATGGCCAACTTTGTCACATAGCTGGCAGACAACTCTTTGTTGATTTGTGTGATCAGGACGCCAGGGATGAGGATAATTGAAATAGTCGCCTTGATGGTTGCAATTGAAATGTTGAGAGGGTTGAAGAGGGGAGGTTTGTTTGGAGCTCTTGTTGTACTGGTTGCTCTTCTTCTTAGGTTTTTGACTGACTTGAGCTGTAATGGATGGTCTTGACAATCTGTCCTCATGCTTGAGATATATCTCATAGTTAGTCAACTTGTCACAGAGTTCTTCAAATGACGCTGGTGAATCACGTGCCCGTATTGCTGTTGTCAATTCCTTGTACTTGTCTCCTAGGTCGTTTAGGATATGGACAGTAACTTCTTCATCACTAAGGGAATGACCTATCAAGGCCAAGTTATCGATGATAATCTTTATGTTATGTAGATAATCAACAACAGTGCTTCCCTCTTGTTTTATCTTCATGAGACTGGATAGAAGACTAAGCATGCGAGTGCGGGAACGATTGGCCAGGGTGGTTTGCAACCTGCACCAAGCTTCGACAGTAGTGTCACATGAAGAAATGAGTGGGGCGAGGGAACCAGCGATCGAGGCTTGAATTGCTTGAAGGATGAGACGATCCTAGTGTAACCATAGTTTGTGGTCCGGATTTGGTACTGGGCTGGATGTGCCTGGGATGTTGAGCATCGCCGGTGGACAACGAAGAGAGCCATCGACAAATCCTATAAGATCATAGCCAAATAGTAGATTAGAGAATTGAGCACGCCATGATGCGTAGTTGCTACTGTTGGATAATTTGAAGGAAATGAAAGTGACAGCATTGATAGAAATAAGGCCTGTAGAGGAAAAGGTACTATGGTTTCCTACGGGAATAGTAATTGGAACGTTAGATGAGGACATGCTGGACATATATAGGAGCAAAGTGGAAAAAGTGGAAGTCTGCAACGATTAGATGGGTAAAAAAAATAGATGGGTAAAAAAAAACCGCTGAAGCCACCTGTACCGATCACTTGCCAACTTTCCAAGCAAAAGGTTTGCTGCACCTTGACAAGTCTTCACTAAGGCATTAATGGTAAGCAAGCAATGAGATCCATGCTGCCACTGTTCACGATGCAGCTGTAGTTGTTGATGCTGCTGCAAGCAACAATGATTGCAGCAGCAGCGGTACCACCATCGCGTGTTGCAGCTTGCAGGCCAGTGAGATGCTGCAACTTGCAGTTTTGGAAGAAGCCGACGAGGCTGCAGGCGCAGAGCGACCGATCGGCAATGGTTTTCTGCTGACGGATTTCTACGCGACCGCGAGTGAGATCGAGAGAGAAGGTTCTTTGAGAACTTCTCTGCCTCTGCAGGAAGAAGGTGGGGCTGCTGATGTGCTCTTGCGGTGGTGAAGGATGTGATCTGAAGTAGCGAGAGTGGTAGTGGAAGAAAATGATGGTAGCAGGATCAATATCGCTGCAGTCGTAGGTGTTTGACGACAAGATGCAGCGGTAGAAAGATACGGCAACTGGGTTTATGGTGATGGGAATCGTCGGAGGTCAGGTGCAGAAGACATGCCTAACAGGCTGCAAAAGAGAGAGTAGAGCCTTCCTAAGGCAAGAATGACTCTGATACAAAGGAGAAGAATGCATTGACTTAAAACAATACAATACTCCCTATTTATACCTCGTTCATTCAACATTGATTCATTGTGGTTCACAATTCATCCCCCATATTCAAATTCTCAAATATCCGGGCATTTTTATTTCACACATTCACAGAAGATGTCAACTATTTCGAGGAAGTTTACAGAAATCCACTGAAGAAGAAAAACAAAAGGTAAAAAGGGGGAAACACCTTTGTTAATTGCATCCATTCCCAAAATAAATTTTCTTTGTTGTCTACATAAAACGAGATTGATACTACAACCATAACGAGATATAGTTTTAGACAAATAAGAGGTTGCGAGTGTACATAAAACTCAATCTGCATACCAAAACTTCCGATAAATGAGGTTCATACAAACTGAAATCGCATTAGCAGCCTCACAGAGTTGTACTTGTTCCCCTTGCGATCATGAAGTGGCACAGCTCGGATTCCTGGTTTTAACTCCCAGACCGGAAGGCATGTTTGTCCACCAAAGTCATCCATATCAGACATGTTGTACTCGCAGGCTTCAATCCTGAGCAAAGCCAACTCTGGAACGGTTAGGGGGAAGCTGAATTCCTCTCCCCAAACTGGCATCCAGTCATCTTGTCTTGTCCTTGTTCTCTTCGTTTTGATATCTGCAGGAACTCCAGCAATCTCTACCTGGAAATCAGCAAAGAAGTTGTTGGATAAGCATCTGCTTTTATGATATGGTGATGGAATTCAAAATTTGCTCACTGATCGATTATGCGCAACCGTCATTTGGCAGGCAGCACAACTCCACATGGGCTCAATATTTCGATAAGTATTTTGATGCAAATGGAGTATCAGATATGTCTTACCTTTGCATAGAAATCTGGAGGAGAATAGACATCAAAATGTGTTCGACTAAAATCCTTGTGCCAGCCATCTCCCATGTATATCTTAACCTGTCACAACTTCATTAATCCTGGGAAAATGAGCATAGCGATTAAGAGAATTCTGCATCACTTACCTTCAAGGTTATCTTCACAGGTAAGCTTGCTTCAGGATTGGAAACTGCAGCTTGTGGACCAATGTTCATCAAGAAATCAGGTTTTCTTACGTAACCACAACCCCCATTGGCCCTAAATAATCCTTGCATTAACCAAAGTGACCTTCCATACCCCTGCCAGAGGGACTGGTAAGGAGGATAGGAAAACCAAATATAAGTTTCAAATTTACATGTGGTTATTTCTTTTATCATGTGCATGGAACCACAATATATTTATGTCTACATACTCAAACTTATGCATCAATTAGTCTTTACTCAAACTTATTGCTGTGTGCCTTGAAATTGTCTGATTGAACATGGGACAGAAATCACAAGGGTTTCACTAAAATTTACCCTAAAAATGGAGAGGCAGATGATCCTTGGAAAAAAATGCCTGATATATGGGAAAATTTTCAGTACATGTCTCATGAGAGCTCGATGTAAATATATGTGGACATATTGGAATGGTGAAAATTCTAGGTGAACTACTTGTGCCTAACCTTCTCTGATCCTCATAAACTCTAATCACAAGCCACATTGCTTATCTCCTACAATCTCTTAGATATAAACCATGAACATGGAACCTAGGATCCAAAACCTGTTGATACTGAAATTTGTTATCTGGATTCTAATCTTGAAAATGCATCCAGTGTAGAGCAACTGAAGAAAATATGGCTGTGGAGAAAGTGATCATTGCAGAGACTTAATGCTGTTCCATTAATCTATTCATGTAGTACATAATTTGTGTCAAGATGGATACAATAACATAAAAAGTGGAAAATTATGTGAAGAGTCGGACAATAAAGCTAGCACCACATATCATATGATATTATATGACAAGTCTTCAAAGGTAGTATTGATGAGTGATGACATTGACCCAAAGACAAATAATGTCAGCTAGCACCATATATCTTAGGAAGTAAATGTTCAGCTTGCACATTAAGCATAGAAACGAACCTGCATATTGAGTGCAACCATCTGTGCACCGTGCAGCCATCCAGGCAAGGGGCAATAGTTAGAAGAGTTAAAGCGTGTACCCTTGGGGTATACTCTTACAATATTCTTCTGAGTGAATCTAGTATAGATCCAAGCAGAACAATGTGAACACAATTGATATGAGATGCACAAACAAAAAAAACACAAGCTAGGTAACAGTTGATTCTGTATCTCCAGTATAAGATGGTCTTGCATGAAATAAGTCACCTAATTTTTCGAAAAACAGAAGATGATATAAGGTAGAAAAGATCAAAAGATCACTTTTAGTTGTCTTATGAAGCAGCTTTCTTTGTTTTTCTTTATGTCCAGAAGAGAATATTACTTCACCAGTTTTGAATCACTAAAATGAAATCCACAAATGTAGATGTTTCTCGGAAAGAAATATGGACTTACCTTACAAGATCAAGTGCATACAATTCTGCTGCCCTTTCAATCTGTTGCTCGCTCAAACTGAGTCGCCTTACTTTGTCAGTATCAGCCTTCAGTGCATCTCTTGTTCGACCTTTAGGTTTTCCAGCATGAACAGTAATTATGCGCCGATACTCAGGACCTGAATTCTGCTAAAATACATGCTTATCATAATCATCATCATCATCATCATTAGATTTTGCTTCATTCTGATCATGATCATTCTGGTGATGTTCTTTTGATACAAGTTAATCATGTTTTAGAGGCAGAGGCAAATACATGCTGATGGATAAAAAGCTCCAAGGCACAAGAAAAGTTTAATCAAAGCAATGTTGCACCTTGTCATGAGAGACATGTAGAGCTTGTAGATCTGCAGTGTTGGTTTCCCATGCTTCATCATTTGAACCCTGTTGAAGATCATCCTGCTTGTCCTCAACCGTCTTTGATTCAAAGTATTTTTTTGGTGGTTTTGTGGAAATAATGATCCTGTTCTTTAGAGATTCTGGAGAGGGGAATTCCTCGAGAGAATCTGACTTGGGGTAATATAACATGTCTCCAAATGTTTGAGTAACCATCTAGAGATGAATTAAATTGACAGTTAAAACATGAAGATCCGAACAACCTTATCTAAGCATCGATCATCGCTCACCTCAGCAACTTTTGCTTGGAGATCTGGAGTAAGGTGGTCCTCTAGAGTGATGACAACAGGATATGAAGATGCACAGAAGGCGAACTCCTTAATGGACCTCAAACATTTGATCATCTCCACCGGAGAAGTTAATGTCCTGTGCACAGAAAAGCAACCGAAGTACAATTAACACACTCTTTAAGCATGACAGATTTGTAAAGTTTATAAAAAAATTCAGAGTGTTTCTCTAAAAATTTCAAAAAGAAAAGTTTTTCAGTGTTCCATTCACGTCGCTTTTTCTTCCATGTCAGACAAACATGGATGGGCCTGGTTGCATTTACATCAGCACAATATTCTTAACACTGCAGACATAGGATAGAACAAACACATGCTGTTAGTGCTATTTAAGCAGTAGTTGCAGGCATCAAGTCTTACCTTCCATGATAGATTAGAACATCATCTTTGGTAGAGTTTGGCCACATGTCTAATTCAATAACTCTTACACCTCTCTGCAATGCTTTTATAATGGGAATATCGCTGCTATCACTGCTGAGTTGGTTTCCAGTCAAGTATGAGTTATGGCCTGTGTATATGTAGTAATGGGAGAGTGGAAGACTCATGTCTTGATGAACCTGGAAGAAAGATCCGGTGTCAAGCACTGTATGCAAGCAAAATAACTCTGGATATCCTAATCGTACTGCAAGATATAAACTATAGCAGACCAATAGAGGAGGAGACAACAAAGTGTTATATGTCCCATAATCCATGTCAAAAAACATCTATCTACATGAGAAGCAATATGTTCATCAATTTCCATAGTGACAATCAAACACAAGTTATTTATGACTTGCCATACAGAAAATAAAATAAATTGGAACAACAGAATTTAATGGAAAGCTTATAAATAATAAAGAGAGAAGCAGCCCTAAAAAAAATTGGGTTTTTGATGATTATTTTGAGATTTCGGCAAGCATAATAGCTGACAGAGGGTGAAATTTAGAGCCACTAGAAAGAAGTTGTTCCTTGGCAAACATGGGGGGTATCGAGGGCTCAATCCACAATAAAATTCCCTATTCTAGGGTGAATAAAGTTGTCTGTTTTGGCCCTCCACAGATGCGATCTTTGCAAGAGCCGAAGAAACATAATGGTCATGGAGACAAACTCATAAGACAAATCTTGCACAGGACATAGAATTTAATTAGAAGAGAATCTTTAAGCACTCGGTGTCGAGTGACTCTTTCACCACCGAGTGCCGTTCCTAATCGGCGAAGATTGAAACGATTTTGCATGATCCAAGGTTTCATCTTCAACCAAACAGAGAGAAAGCCAAATCACTAACGAGTACGAATTAACGGAGACCACAATGTCCTCTTGGGGTGTTGGGGGAGAGCGGCACCGACCTGGGATCCGATTGGCGGGTTGAGGTCGTCGGAGAAGAGGAAGTGGAAGAAGTCGTCGAGGGATATTCCGGGGCGGGAGAGGATGGCGGGGAAGTGGTGGCAGCGGCGGCGGCGGTGGAGGAGCACCTCGTTGATCCGCTCGGCATCAGCGAGTGTGGCGTCCGCTTGGCCCTGCGCCTCGGCGAGGAACCGCCGTAGCTGGTCGGGGCCCATCTGGGCGGCCCCCTCGGAGTATTCTACGAACGTTTGCCTCACGTCGGGCGGTGGCGCCGCCGCTCTCCACACGAACTTGCGCGTGAAGCAAATGCAGTACTTGTAGCTTCCCATCGCTCCGCGCCGTCAGCCGGCGTCCCCCTTCCTCCCTCCCTCTCTCTCTCTCTTTGCGTGGGTAAGTTTAAACGGTTGTCCGCCCCTCCGTTTTCACCACCGCCTTCTCTTTATAGCTGCGGAGGACGGTCGGTACTGTTGGAATTTAGTTTTACGTCCCATTTTTGTTTCTGCTATCAGTATCAGTGTTTTGATAGGATATTTCAAAAGCAGATTCTCATCGGCTCATAATATATCTATCGATCGATGTGTCAAAAACATTATATCCCTTTTGAGAAATACTATTTAACTTATCATAAATTAGTTTGTATTAAATATTTCTTATCATATTATGTTTTGTATAGGTTTATAATATTTTTTGAATAGGCTTTTTATTTATTATATGTTTTGTTTGGGCACAGTTTCTATTTCCATTTTTCATCGTTTAAGCTTTTTGCTACAATTAATTATTATTTTCTTATTGTGTTGTTTTCTGTCAGCTGTTAGTGAGTCCACTTTTTGACCGACACACAGACACCTGAGAAGTTTCTGATGGTGTGTGGTTGGGAATACGATTCGCCGCTGCTCCCACGAGACGAAGAATTCCAATCGACACCGCAAATCATAACAATCACATACTGATCTCTTCGCTTGGACGGCCGTGGATGCGACTGGAGTTAGGCGTGCCCTTCCTCACTTTGCGATGCCCCGTCATTCTAATTGGCTCCACCTTTAGAACTCGATTCCCCCACTCTTTATCTCATTGAATTCATGATGCAAATTATATTATTATTATTATGTCATGACAATGCTTTTTAAACAGATGATTTATTTTGTCAATAATTAAAGATCATAAATTGAGAAAGAAAAAAAATATATATTATAAAGATGAAATCGATAATTAATTTTACGTATCTCATTGTTGATGATGATGATAATGATGATAAAAATTAAGAATTTATGATATCATCATCATCATCATTATTATTATTATTATTATTATTGAAGTTAATTGCATGAGATAGACAAATAGGTAGGTAAAGATCCAACTTGTATTTCTTTATATGAGGCTTTGGCAAGAAGAAGCATATAAATGGGGGACAAGAGAAGTTGATGCCGAGAATTAATAAAGCATAAGTGTGTGTCTCGTGGAGAAAAAGCATGGAAGAGTATATATATATCATCTTTGATGTCATCAAACGAGCGTCATGCGATTCTCACTTGAGACTCCTCAATAAGATAAAATTGAGTTATGAAATATTATATCTTCCCTTATGTTTCAGTTCGTCGAATTGTCTCAAGATGCTATTAATTCTTTCTATTTTGTTCATTGTTTTTATTTCATTTATATTTTGAATTAAGTCTAGTTTGAGTTAAATGGATAAGAACTAATTAATATACATGAGTTTTTTGAGTTCCGATATAACTCAAAAAATTTAAGATGCTAAATTTAAATATCATCAAGTCTTTCGATCTTCATATCTTATCATGCATGATCATATATTTTTAACATTTTTCTATCTCACTTCGATTTAGCACTGAGCACGTGTGATATTTCTATCAAAAGAGTTGACATACGAGGAAAAACGAGATTAAATATTTTAATTTTGTAAGTATAAGGATTTCAATATAACTATTAAGAGTTTGGACTGAAATACTAAAGATAATTAATTATAAGGATATCTATAATTAGGATCGATTTATAGATAGATTGTCCTACGGATTGCACTGAATCAACAACGAAACGTCAACCCTCAAGCATCCGACTGAATTTTTCACTCTAGTAAGATTTATTAAAGAAAAATATTATAATATATAATGATATTAGATAATACAAAATATTATTTAAATCATATAGCTTGATGCCCCTAAAAATATTATTCATCGTTAAATTCTTAATAATTTTATATAATGATATTAGATAATACAAAATGATACATTAATTCTCTTGTATGCATGCTTCTAAGGAAAAAAAAAAAGCTAATATATAATTTAAATTAAGTGAGGAAGGTGAAATTTAATATTAAAATCTTATTAATATAGGTTAAAAATATTATTTATCAATTAAGCTAGTCAACATATTTATAGTAAGATTTTGAGACTAAGATAATTAAAATTGGATATAGTAACTTCGATGAACCTTCCAATCAGGCATGTTTATATATTAAATGAGTTGATTTGACCAAATCAAATGGATGATCGAGAATTAAGAAAAAGGCCAATATATGCGGTTTTGGAGGAATCCATTTAGCTCTTTATGAATGGAGTCGGTGGAATTCGTTTCAGACACAATGATGAGAAGGAGGATAACAGAGTTGGATATTTTTATTTGATCCGCTTAAACAAATCAAGTACATTATGGGACTCAAAGACATGTAGCAATATCTTATCAAAAGGAATTGATTCTTTTGCACTATGGAGAAGGAACAAGAATTTTGGAGATTCCCATGATATTTGACTTTTTTTGTTGTTCTTGCTTCCCCCACTCCAAATGTGCTCGAAATCAAGCTTTAGCTGCTAGTATATGTATGAGACAATCGTTTTCGTCAAGAACAATATATCGTATAATTAAATTTTAATACGATGATGCATAGGAGGCATTGTCCATTTGCTTATGATCAGGGTTTAAATAGTTCAATTTTTTATGAACCCGTGAATTTTGGGGGTTATGGCAATAAATTTAGTTCAGATTCGAATGTATCAACAAAATTATTTGATTTATTGATTCTTACCAAAGTCATATGACTCTATATCGTGACATATTCTTTAGTCTTATTCATGAGTATTTTTTTTTTTATTCGAGCCTTTTATCATGCCTAATAATGCTATATAGGTAGGTTCTGATGTTATTAGCTTATTAAGTCTGGAACTCAAAATATTTAAATTAAAATTGATAATAATTTACCAACCTTTCAATATTCTATATTTTGCTAATAATTGTTCATCATAGCAGAATAGAAAACTTCATACCTATAGTGTTATCACTAAACTCAAAAGAAATTATTAGATACATATGGAGTTATGATGATCCACTTGGATTTCTTTGTCATTGTAATAATTAGTTCTATCTCTCCTAGCTTGATCCGTAGATGGAGAAGGACCGAATGTGCCATATTGTCTACTATAATTATTAGCACAATAATGATTATATAAGTTAGTTAATGACTATTTTTTTAATATATCTAATTTTATCATCAATATCAATATTTACTCTTAATACATTAATAATCACATAATCCATTTAGTTTAGTATGAGTATAAAAAAATACATGCAACTAAATAAAATTTCATAAAAATAATTTAAATATCCATTTTGATTTCCTAGCCATTATTATCATCTTGATATTCTTCTAATTCACTAACAATATTAATAGAGACAACTAAAAAAAATGAATGTGCAGTCCAATAATAAACACCATACAAAATGTATGTTACATTATTAAAAACTTTTAAAATTTCTAAGATTCTTTACATAAATTCCAATGTTGTGGATATATTTTTTTTTATATTTAAAATATTTTTAAGCAATTAATGTATAGAATTTTATTCGGTAAAGATATCCCCAAAAAATGTTTAGGGTCTTTTGTCATTTAATATGTAAAATCTGGCCTATTCTTTCATTACTTGCGGATGATGCCTAATGAAATAGCTTATTTGATAAGAGAAAGAAAGAAAATTTTCATAAGATCTAACAAAGTCCTTTTTTTATATATAAAAATTCAAAACGTGACAAGTATATATAAGATGAAAAAAAAGATACCATCAAAAGGTTGATAAATTTCTTATAATTTTAGGATAGAAGGGGTATATTGTTAGAACCCTTGTAGATTCTAAGCTTGAGGTTAATCTCTTTAGGGGATCGACCTTCTATAAGGGTTCCTTCTTCCAAATTACTGTTCAAAGATTACAGAAAAGATTCATCTATTGCTTATCAATAGAGGATAAATACATAGCTATTTATAGGGTTTCTAAACCATAACTCATAATATGACTCCTACTACTCTTACTCAAGACTCTTATTCCTTTACAACTCCTAATTCTTCTCTAAGAAATAACCTCCAAACCCTAGCTGACCTCTTCACCTCTTTAATAGGGGTCGACTTAGGTAGATTTTACATGAATATCCCTCTCAATTAGGATTCTCATAACTAGAGTCCTAACATATATAACACTACATTGTCAAAACCAACAGAAAATTTAAAAAATAAAATAATATTATTCTAAGATTATTTCATCATTCTATAAATATTATCAACCAAAAGTAGGTTAACAAATTTTTTATAATTTTAGGATAGAAGGGGTATATGCCACCACTATATTGTCAAAACCAATAGAAAATTTTAAAAAATAAAATAATATTATTCTAAAATTATTTTCATCATTCTATAAATATTATCAACTAAATGTCATTCATCAAAAATTCTCAAAAAATAATAATTTATTTTTATATGGTCCAATTATTGTCTATCTAATGATAAGTGATTCTCAATAAGAGTGCATTTGCTAGCGATGATGACTCTAAATATCAACACAATTAGAAACACGATCATTCAAAGTTCAAAAATTTTCTTGTAAATATCTTTTCTTTTTTTAGATTATGTAGAGTACAAGTAAAAGTGGTATAAGAAAGAGATGAGATTTAAAGCCTCTTAATAATATTCAACAAATTCAACTTTTCAATGAAAATAAAAGATAATTGCTACTCAATGAAAATTAATCTAGCTAATGCGTCATGATTTGTTTACTAAAAAAAATAAAAAGTGGGAGAAGTAGGTGACCTGAAAATTTGCATTTGACATCGCTTTGATTCGTGTTTGATTTTTTTCTTAATATATTTTTAGAATGTTTCATATCCTCCTCCTTTGAATTTAAAATTTTGATTGCAGCATGCAATTACATAATGTTGGGAAGAAACATGTTAATGCGGAATAATTCTTTTCCCTCTTTGTGTATCAAAATAGGTTCCTCATCAAAATACTAACTTGATATCAAAATGCTAATATCAATCAGCACAGCATAAACAATAAAGCAATAAATCAATCACACAGTGAGACCAAATCTTTTTAACGTGGAAAACCCAATGTGGGAAAAATCACGGGACCGTAGTCCACCTCAAACTTCCACTATCAATAATAATGATAACAGGTTTATAGTAGGTCTTCTCTAGAATAACTAGAGGATAATAGCATATCTTCATCACGTAGGATGGATCTCCTCAAAAGAGAATTCTAGGTCTCACAGAGTGGATATCACAGGAAAGTACCTTAGAGAGGGTAAACTGTAGATCAACACCGTTAAGATTGTAGAGTTTGTTGCAAAGATTCTCCACATAAAATTTGTGCCGAAACTGACAACATTTGGCCACAGATCGTCAAGCAGAAAACTCAGAAACCTAATCTTTCTCTCTTTATTTCTCTCTCCTCTTTTCTCCGCACGTTGTAATTTCACTGTGCACACACACACACACCCTGCACGCTGCCCAATTTTATCCTTTCTCTCTTAATTACTGATTTGGGCTCAATAGGCCCAATTGTCCAAGTCCACGTATGGGCTGGACCCAACACATGAAACAAGTCATCAGTGTTTCAAACCTTGTTGAAGTGTAGCTTCAAGATGTCCGACTTAGTTTCATTGACATATCGATTTCCTTGGACTTTTTTGAGTTTTCATGATTAAATTTTCAAAAGCCTCCTCCTATGGTGAACTAGTGGCTCCCGGTTGCTATCAGATCAAGAAGAGAGTTTAAGAGCATTTAAATTTTAACGAGTGCTTAAAGGATACGATGAAGAATGAGAGATTTGAGGGGTATTTATAGGATTTTTGAATTTTTTTTTTCTTCAAAACTAGTTATTATTATTTATTGAAAGGGATAAATCTATCTTTTTTTATATTTTTAATTATAAAATAATTAAAATATCCTTGAATATAGTCATTTATATGATTATTGAGAGAGACAAACTGATCGATTACTAACCAATTTGATCGAATTTTTTTTCAAAAAAAAAAAGTTTGATCGAATTGAATCGTCAGACGTCTTTGGGTTCGGTTTGAAACCAATAAATCATCATTATTCTGGTTTTTATCCTATCCTAATTTTAATTCGAATTCAGGATTAAATGCGTTGCTCTTTCGTCTCTCCACCAACCGAGACAACACTTTCACTCTCTCTCTCTCTCTCTCTCTCTCTCTCTCTCTCTCTCGATCTCGATGTGAGTGCATAAAATTTCGATTCGCATGGAACAAAGCGAAGCTTATAAGTTGAGGAGCCCGTGTTTGTTCGTTTTAGGGATGAGTACGTGTAAGTCGGATATCATCAAATTAAAGTACAAAGTGCCAAACGAATACGGCTTTCGTAAAGAATCCTCGTAGTAGGGACAGCCACGAGAGAGATGGAAGTATGTTGGGATGGGACACACGGACAAGAAGTTGATTAGTAGTGATCGAGGTCTTAGAATTTGGATCGGACGCAGATTTCTTCGGTTTGCATGCATTTATTTGTTTTTAAGTGTATAAGCAATCCGCGAGTTGTTAGCTCTAAACCAAAATAATTAAGATTAATTCATACAAAGCTCGTAAAGAATTATCTATTTTGAGTGAATCTATAAAATAAAATAAAATAATCAAAATTAATACATATTTTAACGAAGGCTTGTAAAAATTTATCTATTTTGAGTGAGCCCGAAAAAAAAGTATTAGTATGGTTCTAAATGTCGTAACAACTAAGTAAGTTATACGGGCACTCAAAAATCCTCGGGTGATATAGGGATAGTGTTAGGTTAGTATTTGAAGTAGTAGCTGGATGTTTTTAGGAGTATCCAACTTGGCTGAGCTATTTCACACTCGGTATGCTGCTACTACTCGAAACTGTGGTTGGTTGCTTTCTCTAGCTAACAAGGTTGTTCTTATTGTCATTCAATTCCTTGCTTCATCTACTTTGCTACGATAATGTTGGGGAGCTTTTATGTTGTGTGGCCGAGGTGTCAATATGGTTTGGTCCGATCCCGGATGTGTAAAGTTACTCATGTGAATGTTTGGGTGGTACAAGTATACATCGGGTTGGGCTGGGTTCGAACCTTGTCTCCCGAGTGTCTTCTCTCTTAACGAGTTGTCTGCTCTTTTGTCGTCGAGTTTATACACATAGGTTGAAGTCGGGAGGGGGATTTCCTGACTTAACCTCTTCAAAACATAAGTTAGTGTCGAGTGGAGTTTGGGAGAGTTGAGTGCTCGAAGTTCTTCCCCCTTTGATGTTGATCAGGGAATCGACTTTTATACTTGCGAACAAAGGTTAATCATAAATGGTCCGTCAATAGTTGCTTGGGCAGCTAGTTGGCTTATACCTTACGTCCGAGTGATGACCAAACTGTACAGACTCGTGACATGTGATGTCGTTCCGAGGTTATGTTTAGGTTTGGCATGCATCTTACATTTGATAAGTTTCTAGTGTCAAACTTGTATAAATTATTGTCTCAGTCTCTGTGCACAAATAGAAGAGATTATTTCATCCGAAACTCAAATCATCAACTCGCAAAGGAATAATCTTACCGATATGATCATCATATGAATCTAGAATTAAAAAAAAAATATAGCAAAGAGAGAATATTTAATATATGCACATCAAAATATTAATTAAAAAATATAAGTGAATCATATTTCTTGGATATAAAAGTTATTAAGTGAATGTGGAAACGAAAATATGCAAAAGAGAAGAATAATATATTATGCATAGGAAAAAAGACAATTTGGATCAAAGCATGGTGATCGTTTGATTTGTATCTCTGCAGATTTGTATCTTTGCATTTGTAGAGTATGCATGAAAACCTCATGTTCCTGTGGATCCACCAGAGACGGAGATAAGAAACTTTATTGAAAAGAAAAGATAAGAAACTTTATTGAAGTAACTTTAGCTTATCACTATTCAGGATTTTATAACTTGTATAAAAAATTCAACAGGGAGTTGAGATCATATGCATGCATTCCGCAACTCGAAAATCGTTAACAAAGAGGTATGACAAAATCACAGAAAAATAACGTAACTTGTTGAATCTGGAACATCTTCCCTCTCACTCATCCACCCTCTATTTTCTTCAAATCATAAAGAAAAGAAAATAATTCTGTACCCAATTTTTATTGGTATTATGATTCACATCCTCAAGAGTTTACGAATATATTGCAAATATTTCAATGAGGTTTCAAGACAAACGTAAGAGAAGAAATGGAAAGAACACACACAAAAACAATACACAATACACACAAAGCAAACCACATGCAGTAATCAGTTTCATAACCATCACATTTCTCATCGTAGCATTTCTAAGGTAGGAAACACTAAAATCTGGCATCAGGATTGAGCAGTTAAACTGAATGAATCAATTTGTCTGAAGCTATAAGCATATTGTGTCTAGCAGCTAAAGTGTGTCTACAAATTAGCATAATGACCTTCCTTGAAAAATATTTCCACAGAATTTAGATGTTTATTTGTCATTTAAAGTTTTCTTCCAAGGCAGAGGTTATGCATACGGGACAGATGTTCTTGCTCAGCAACCATTTCGCGATACAGCTGGAGTGGAAAAGTTGTTTGCAGTTCAATCTCCCAAGATGGTCTCTCTATCTTTGTGTGCGTCCTGTTGCTGTTCGTAGAGAAGAAAATGACAATTAACAGTTCATTCCATTAACTAGAAAAAAGATTAGCTTGTCAAATATGCATCTTTCTCTCTCTATCTTTAGTAAATTGGTTTGGTGAACCTTACCAGGCATATTGTGGAGCTATCTTGCTCATGATTATCTTCTTGTATTGGGTCAGAAGAGCAGTATACTATCTCTGTCAAGCATTTTGTGATGGCATCTTCAGACAAACCGGTGCTGACATTGCCCATCCTCTCCCCTAAAGCAAGCAGTTCCTGTACCATCATCACCAACACATAAATATATAGCAAAGTACCAATTCTATGAGAAGATAAGAAGAAATTAAAAAAAAAATTCAGCACCTCATAGCTCATGTTGTCTATGTCTAGTCTCATGTCATGATGCTGATCAAACAAATGCATGGGGTCTTTGATTTATCATGATTGCACCCTGTAGAAATAATCTCATCGAGAGATAAAGGTAATAACATAACAAGAAGAAAGCCTCAAATTAAATTCCTCACGTCAGGAATCCATCTAACATGGATGGGGTCTTCATTTCAGGATGACTGGAATCTGTTGTACTGATTTCTTGCTCTCCCATCCCTCTCATTACTTGGTCGTGCTAAAGAGAGTGGCCTTGAATGCACGAGAGACCCCACCCTCGTCGGCCTGACATCCTCAGATGTTGCTCCCGAAACCTAGGATGGGTAGCTTAGATTGGTCCTATAAGCTCTTCTTTGACCATAGATATTTGGACCTACCACCAGGCATTGTGTGGAGGGACAACTATGAGCAGGAACAGTAAGGTAGGAGTGGTATCCTCCATTGGTCCACATATTGCTGTTGATGGCATGGTGTGCTATACATGGTTTGTTTATCTCATAATTTATGAAGCTTCTCTCTGCAGTTTCTGTTGAATCTCGGATTTTGATGATGAAACTAATTGATTGTGTTTAGATGTTTAACTGCATTTTGAGTGATGCAGGTCTACTCGATCAGGATTAGACAGTTAACGCAAGAGGAATTGACGTTGCGCCGGAGGAGATCACGTTAGGATATTGGATGGCAGAAGGCTTCGGACGTCGGGCATCGGGCCAAGAGCGGAATTGCGCCAAGGATATCGGGGTTGCTGAGGTCAACCGCCGATTGGGCAACAAGCCGCAAGAGAGGACGATGCGCCGAAGAATCGGACGAAGTGCCAACCAATGACGTGCCGGGCAACAGAATGTCAATTCGCATTGTAATAATTGTCTAGATCGGATTAGAGTTTTAGCTTGTGTGTGCAGGATTAACTACGATAACGACGAAGACATAAAGCAAAACAAAGTGTCGGAGTCAAGCACGAAGGATTCATTGCGAGTTCGAGAGTTCGACGGAAGTCCGAATGTTCGTCGGGAATGCTGCTGGAACTAGCCGAGAATGAGTAGGGAGCTTGCCGAAGGGTTTTTTGGAAGCTCGCTGGAAGGTTTGTTGGAAGTTCGCGGAGCTCGCCGAGAAAGATCGGAGCTTGCCGAAGAAGCTCGTTGGAACTCGTCAAGATCAAATCGTGAAGTCTAGGAGCTTGCCGAGAGTCCGCAGAATGGTTTCCGAGAGTTTATCGAAAAACCGTCGAAGTTCACCGGTAGAAGTCTTGACTTACGGACTTTGTAATAGCTTAGAAAATGTCTTTAAATTCATAGTTAGCACGTTACTTAGGGTTAGGATTAGGTGTTAATCTTATAAACCAAGTAGGGGCCAATTGGGCTCAAGTTCGGACTGGTTTGGGCCAATTTTGGAGCCCAACCAGTGAGCTGAAATAGTGTAGGCGGTGGCAACGCCAGATTTGGTGGTGGCACCGCCTAGCACCCGAGAGCCAGGTGGTGGCACCGCCTAGCACCAGAGAGCCAGGTGGTGGCACCGCCCAGCACCCGAGAGCTGGGCGGTGGCACCGCCAGTCCACTGTCAGTGTCAGACACTGACAGGCGGTGGCACCGCCACTGACAGGCGGCAGCACCGCCAGCATCGGGAACCAAAGAGAATTCAATTTTTGGAGCCCAAATTTGAATCCTCTTGAGGCCTATAAATACCCCTCAAATCTCAACTGAGATTACAACATTTTGAAAAGCAATAGTTTGAGTTAAGAGCCTTAGAATAGTCTTTGCAAGCCTTGTTTTTCATATTGCTTAAGTGTTCACCTCCTCCCATCTTGTTGAAAAGAATTATAAGAGTGTGAACCACTTGTAAAGGTTGTAATAGGGGTTATTAGTCCTTCCCCTACAAGAAATTTGCTAGTGGAAGTTGGAAGCCTCTTCGAAGAAGGCTTCGCAAGTGGATGTAGGTCATTTTGACCGAACCACTTTAAAAACT